CATGGATTACATACCCTTCACACCTAGACTGTGTTTAATATCCTTCTTAAGCGCTTCAAAAATTGAGTTCTTAGCCGGGCACAGTGGCTCACACCTGTAATGTCAGCACTTTGGGAGGCTAAGGTAGGAGGATTGCTTGAGCCCAAGAGTTTGAGACAAGTCTAGGCAGCATAGCAAGACATCATCCACAAAAAATTTAAAAATTAGCCAGGCATGCTGGTACGTGCCTATAGTACCAGCTACAGGGAAACAGAGGCAGAAGAACCTCTTGAGTCCAGGAAGTCAATCAGCCATCAATCATGCAGTGAGCCATGATTGTTCCATTGCACTCCTGGGTGACAGAGTGAGACTCTGGGTCAAAAATAATAATAATAATATATATATGGAGTTCTTGATGCCATATCTACAGTGAAATACTTTGTAGAACTTTTTGTTATTCAAATATTACAGTTGAGAATCATAACTGAGATCAGTCTTTGTAATGGTCTATCAAAGCCATCAAATCCCTATTTCCTGTGAACTGGTTAGCCATCCAGCTCTGGCATCAGGTATGCTGGTCTGATAAAAACTGTTTTGTCTCTTCTGTGGGTAGTACAGGGAGGTGATTTCTTTAAAATAGTACTTTTTGAAGCTCTATTTTCAACCAAATTGCAATTAGTTTTAAATTGAGGGGCATGGGAAGTTCAAAATTTTTGATATCCTGTAGGTTTTGAGGACGTATCCAAGATTAAAATCCTTTTTTAAAAAGATTTTTTATATTATTAAGTAGATCTTGTTATGAATCAAGATACATTGTATGGCTGTCACTTCAGGGATCTTTTTGCTCCCTGTTCTTTTGTTTTTGTTGGCTAATAATACTTTCCTCATACTTTATGGAAAGCAGTGTGAAACAGTAAGAGAGTGTGGGGTTTGAAGTCCTAAAAGCCTGATTCAGTCTTGGCTTAACCATTTTCTAGCTTTCACCTTTGGCAAGCTTTTTAAACCCTTAGCGTTACCTGTAAAAGGCGGATTGTAACTGTCCTTACCTAATAGTATTGTGAGGATTAAATGAGTTAGTGTATATAAATTACTAAGCACAATATGAAGTGTACATTATGTACTCAAGAAATGGTAGTTATGATTATACCTTCTGCCTTCCCTTCATCCCTTAAATTCTGTGGACAAAAACCAAGTGAGGTAACTTTAGCCATGTCCACCTTTACTAAACTTAAATTAGAAGTTAACATTTCAAAAATCTTTTACTTTCCTTTTTTTTTTCTTTATAAGGGATCAGACATTTTTTAAAAATTAGCTGTTGATACTATAAGTTTCTGGCCCTGAGAATACGAAAACATGTATGTTTCCTAGTGAGGGAGACAGTACGTACAGTCAGCTAACCATGATGCAGTATATCATATAGGTTTACATAATTAATAGCAACAGCAGTAACTAATGTTTAGTAAGTACTTGCTGGGTACCAGGCACTGTGCTGTGTATTGTAATTGCAGTATTTAATCCTCATACCAACCTGTGAAATAGATACTTTTACCATCATTTTATGATTGAGCGAACTAAGGCTTTAAAGAAGTTAGATTATTTGCCCAATATCTTCCAGGTGTTGAGTGCAAAAGTGAGGATTAAAATGCAAGTAATCTGACTCTGTACTTACCTGGATAATAAGGATTCATATCACTAGGTAAGGAAAAAAGTGCATTTGTCTGCATATGTAAGTTAACCCTAAGGAATTTTGTTCCTTGTCACTTACTAGTTTTATGGCACTTAACATCTCTGAACCCCAGTTTTCTAATCTGAAGACGTTGGTTTTGAATTGAGGGTCTGTTTAGTGCTTACTAGTAGCACTAGCAGTTTCACAGTGGATGAAAATTGACGTGTGTAAGGGATATCATCTTGAAATTTCAGATACTGGCAGGATAAATAATTTCCTGTATGTTTTTACACACTTTCAGAAGGCAAAGTGTTCGGCATAAATCACATTATTTATACAAGGCAAAATAAGCCACTCTTATCATTGAGGGGAAGTTTTATGTCTATAGGAAACTTTACCAGCCAACTTGCTAGATTCTAGCCAAAGGCCAACCATGCAAGCAGGCCTTGCTAAAGATGGCAATTTCAGTCATGTTCACTCTTTTCTGCACACTACTTTTCTTTGTGTTTTATGCTATGAAGTCCTACATAAAAGAAACTAACCTTTGCTTTCTTTTTATTACAGAAGGAAAGCAATTTTCACTTCATGTTGAGGGAGACTAGAGTGAGGGACAAAAGATAACTTCCAAAGTACCCTAAATTTCAGGAGCAAGAACATGAAGAGTGGCATACATTTGAGTTGATAAGCAGTTTTTGAGAATGATGGGAAACAACAATCAGAAAAATAAGCACTTAATATCAACCCCTTTTTCCAGATGGTTCTTTGTACTATAGCAGAGATACTGTTTACTTTGAATGGTCTAATGTTTTTTAAGCATACAAAATGGATGATGTTCCTAGCTGTTCAAAAGCCAAATTATAACCTTTCTTGTAATTATATAATTCGCTGGAAATGTTTCTGTTCCATTTACTATAGATTGCCTCTAGGTACCAGGCAGGGAAGTTAGAGCTGAGGCTATTTCAGCACATTCTGTAAGGGCTGCTTCTGCATTTTATCCCCCAAAATTGATAGGAAATTATCCTCTGAATTATAAAAAGAACTTTGTGTGATGTACTGCAGGCAGTGAGGTGTGGCTAGGTCTCTGAGAATATTATTTTTCTTTTTTTGAATGATTGTAATTTTTAAATGACTATTATGACTTTATTTCACAAATAATTCAAATTCTACTGTGGGTTTGCTGCTACAGTTCTTCCTTTTGCTGCTTTTATCAAAATGGGATTTACTTGATGGTATAAATGAGCTCTTTGGCTCTAATTTCTTCTTGGTTCAATTTGTGTCTTTCAAATTAGATGTCATGTTTGATTTGTAGTCTTTGAGAATATTGCAACATGCTGCCATAAGAAATTCTCTTGAAGAAAAATCTTGTTTTTATAAGGCACCAACAGGAAAAAACTTGATTGACTTTTAATCACATTAAGTATGACTGTTTTTAGTTCATGTTTTTTCTCCCAGTGAACTTCGCAAAACAGTTTTTGGTATAATAGTGTAGAATCAGTAAGGCAAAAAAAAAGTTGTTATATTTCTGTGAACCTTTAATATCTTTTCAAGCTGGGTGTAGTGACTCACACCTGTGATCCCAGCACTTTGTTAGGCCACAGCAGGAAGACTGCTTGATCCCAGGAGTTCAAGACCACCCTGGGCAACATAGCAAGGTCTCATCTCTATAGAATGTCAAAAAAATTAGCCATACATGATGGCATATACCTGTAACCTCAGCTACTCAAGAGGCTAAGGAGGGAGGGGTCATCAGATCATGCCACTGCACTCTCGTCTGAGTGAGAATGAGACACTCCAAAATAAAATCTTCTCAGTTATTTTTTTAATCCATTTCATTATATTTGTTTATTTTGGAGACGAGATCTTGCTATGTTGTCCGGGTTGGACTTAAACTCCTCCTGCCTCAGCTGCCCAAGTAGCTGGGTCTATAGGCACATATCACCATCATCTCTTTATTTCTTATATACATTATCTTTGGACTTGTGAACATTCAGAAAAATAAATATAATGTACTCTGTTTTTCAGTAAAATAATTTATTCTAAATCCAACTGAATTTTGAATTGTCTGCTGGTTTGTAATTTTTATGAAATACAATATTTGTTCACGCTATCTAAAAAATTAAATGTTGGAGCCAGGCATGGTGGCTGATGCCTGTAATTCCAGCACTTTGGGAGGCTGAGGCAGATGGATTGCTTGAGGCCAGGAGTTTGAGACCAGCCTGGGTAATATAGTGAGACCATATCTCTACAAAAATTTAAAAATAAATTTAAAAATTAAGAGTTGACCATTATGATCTATAAAAGGCAGGTTTATCAGATTATTTGTAGCACTCTGTTCCACTTAAACTACATTCATTTAATCACTTGCACTTGAGAAAAAGTTTACTGTGAGATACATTCACATGGTTGAACATTTTTAAAGGCACACATTGAGGGGTCTCACTCCTACCCATGTTGCTTTATCATTACATGATTCTGGATGTACCATAGTTTGTTTAACCAGTCCCTTATAAATGACTACCTGGGATGCCTTCAGGTTTTGTTTGTTTGTTTTTACTGTTGCAAGCAATGCTACAGTGAGTACCCTTGTGTATTATTTCATGTGCATGCAGTTATAGAAAAATTCCCAAAAGTGGGAAGTTGAATTCAGGGTACTAAATTAACATTTGTAGATTTTGTTACATTTTGAACTTCTATCAGTGTTGTGTGAGAGAATCACTTGCCTCAATAGCAGTGTTTGGAAAATTTATTAAACCTCTATAGGTAAGGAAAACTGAAGCAGAGTTTGTTCGCCTAACTGATTATGGGACTTTGTCTGGGACTTGGTTTGTAATTGAAAATGTAGCATTTGTACCAACAGACTATACTGAATTTACTGTCTTTTTAAACTCAAGACATGCTGGTAAAATATAAAAATTGTTAGCTGACAAAGATGTATTAAAGGATACCGTCCACTTTTTTGCTAGTGTCTATAAATTCATGTATCTATATTTTTTTTGCGTTTTGTGGTCACAGAATGAACAGGTGAACAAAAAGAGTTCTTTTCTGTGTTCACATTTGGGTAAAATGAGGGTGGGATGTGTGAGTTCAGTCTCTGCAGCCCACAGAAGTGTTCTGGTTCTGGACTTGGAGATTTTATGTTGACTTCTGCATGAAGACTGGCATTACATGAGTACCACCTGATTCTAGTGACCTGGTCTCCATGAACCTCATTTATAATTGTTTTGTCTTTTAGTATCTCCAACATCAGAAGACAGAGTAAATGTTATGTATACTTGAGAATTTTCTTAAGTAGTTCGTTTTACTTTCAGTAAGATGCCAGGTTTTTTATTACACCACTCTTTTATTTGTTTTACAGTGGAAAATAGATGATAAACCTGTAAAAATTGACAAGTGGGATGGATCAGCTGTGAAAAACTCTCTGGATGATTCTGCCAAAAAGGTACTTTCTTGAGGAAGCATCTGTTAGGATGTATAGCTGATGGTCCCTCTCCTGGAGGATCTTTTTCTTCTGTAACTTGGAGTGACCTTAGTTTTCACTGTTAGAAATTGAGCCAGCTGGGTGCAGTGGCTCACGCCTGTAATTGCATCATGTTGGGAGGCTGAGGTAAGAGGATTGCCTGAACCCAGGAGTTCAAGACTAGCCTGGGCAACATGGCAATACCTCATCTCTATAATAAATCAAAAAACTAACTCGCTGTGGTGGCATGTTCCCATGGTCCCAGCTACTTGGAAGGATCACCTGAGGCCAGATGGTCAAGGCTACTATAGCCGTGATTGTGCCACTGCACTCCAACTGGGCAACAGTGAGACTGACTCAAAAACGAAAAAGAAATTAAACCAGAAAGATGTTTCTAACATTCTCACAGAATAAGTAGGGGAAAATAATATCAAACTATAAATTCTAGGTATCTCAAAAACCTGGTAATTTATTGTTTTTGAGATTAATTAACCTAAAGCACAGAAAACTGAGGGAAGATACACGTTACTTTATTCATTATTAGTCATCTCTCCATTTGTAAAAGGAAAAGAAAATTTTAGCTATGAGAAAAAATGAACAGTTTTTAAAATTTGTTATAATCTGGAAATTTTTTTTTAAAAGCAGGTACTAGGAGGATTTCTATTAGCTTGATTCTTTGTTCTTTTCACCAGGTACTTCTGGAAAAATATAAGTATGTGGAGAATTTTGGTCTAATTGACGGTCGCCTCACCATCTGTACGATCTCCTGTTTCTTTGCCATAGTGGCTTTGATCTGGGATTATATGCATCCCTTTCCAGAGTCAAAACCCGTTTTAGCTTTGTGTGTTATATCATATCCTTTATTTATGCACAAGTTTGTTTCTAGTCACTATTTTAAAAAAATCTACTGATACTCCTCCCTGCTTTCGGCAAAATAGAACAAAACAAACTTTCATATTAGGGTCCACTAATGTTAGAATTCAACATTTTGAGCTGTATTTGTAAATTTATATACTGACTGACATTGTTATTTTAGGTTTAATATGGTTATTTTATTTGGAATTTATTTTAGTTGTTAATATTGAGGATATTGTCCTAATATGAGCACTTAATAGCAAAACACACAGTAATTAGTGAGACCCAGCTTTTCTCATTTCTAGCCCAGAACTCTTTCCATTATTAGACCAGGCTGCTTCAGGCCACTGTTTCCAGGATGTTAGGAAAGGATCAAATTTTGGAGATTCAAATCTGGACTAGGAGATACTGAGCAAGGGGTATAGATGTACCTTGTATTAGAGTGGAATTAAGAACTTATTTTGGAGCTAGAGAACCAAGGTGGAGTTTGAGATCCAAGGTGTTTGATCTTGTGCCAGTAAGAACTTAATTTTTTTTAAACTGTTTGAATGCTTCTCATGTATAAATATAGTAAATACACACTCAGAATTACCATAAATATTAAATGAGAGATTTTATATTGTATTTGATATGAGATAGTTTCCTCTCCCCTCTACTTTTTATGATAAATGTGGAATATGATTGTTGCCTACCCCGTTTAATTATTCAAGAAGTTGAATACAAAGAACTTTTATTATGCTATTGCTATTATTATATATTGGTTGTTTAAAACAAATTATTTTAATGGGCAGTTTACTGTTTTTAATGTTGCCACTAGCTGGAATATTTTTAAAATTTCAGAAGCAGTTAGCAAATCTGTAATAAAGCAGGTCCTGGTCAAAAATGGTATTATCCAAATTGGTTCCAAATCATAGTCCCCAGAAGTGGCACCAAGTGATCCGTGACTCCTTGCAGTAATCATCTTCATCCCAGTATGAGTTTTTGACATTAAGGTAGTTCAAAAGAATAATATACCATAGATTCTGGAGAGTTCCCAGGGGAATGCCAAAGAGGTTTGAAAATGACAGGAACATTATTAGAAATATATGGCCTCCCAAGAGAACTACCTTGATAGTACTTAATTTGGTTATATTTGCTTAATAAAACAAGAGCTTCTTATTTTTATAATTATGTCAATTTTGTTTATAATAATAGTGACTACCATTATAAAGTCTTCTGTATCCTAGATGGAAGAGAGACATATATATCTCTATACCACATGATAATTCTAAATAGTCAGTATTATGCCCATTTAAGAGGTGAGAATACTAAGACTTGAGGAAGAAAGTAATTTGTCTTGATGATGCTGGTTAAAGGCCAGAATTCATATCAATAATTGCCTTGCTCCAAAGTCTATACACTTTGCTCTGTACTTTCCTGTCTCCGGATCATAAAATTTAAGTGAAACATTGTACACAAAGCTCTTATGCCAGTTTCTGGCACACTGTAAGTAATTAATACTGTCAAAAACTAAATATAATAATAAATCTATAAATATATAGGAAGTAATTTTTCTTACAGTAAAATGGGTCACTTTTCTGATGACCTTTGAAATCAGTAGAACATGGTCAAGTCCGCTGTGATCATTAGTTGTGTTTTGTATTAAAAAATAATCATCGGCTAGGCTCAGTGACTCAACCTGTAATCCCAGCATTTTGGGAGGCCGAGGTGAGCAAATTGCCTGAGCCCACGGGTTCGAGACCAGCCTGGGCAACCTGGTGAGACCTCTCTACAATAAATAAAAAATTAGCTGGGCGTAGTAGGGGCGCCTGTAGTTCCAGCTACTTGGGAGGCTGAGGCGGAAAGATCACCAGAGCCCAGCAATTCGATGCTGGGGCAGCTGTGAGTGTGCTACTGCACTCCAGTCTGAGCAACAGAGTGAGACTCCACATCCAAAAAAAATTAGCATCATTATAACAAAATTTTAACAAGCTAGATACCTTCTTGTACATATTGTCCCTGAACATAAAGATGAAAACTGGTTTATGCTCTGTACCTTTTTCTTTCTTTCTTTTTTGAGATGTTTGGAGAATTAACCGAAGAGAACTTGCTTATTTTGGTACATAAAGATAAGGATGAAAATGAAATAGCTAAATTTTCATTGTTTTTGCAGGAAGCCAAAACTGAGTAAATTCCTTAGGACTGTGATTATGAAAGTTTTCATAGCTCTTGCTTGTCAATATTTGTTACTTCTCTTTTGTTTGTATGTGTGTTTTCTCCTTAACTTTATTTGAACCTATTTTGTGATGATGGGGATTTTGACCATTTATACCTCATATAAGGAGAAGAGCATCTTTCTTGTGGCCCACAGAAAAGATCCTACAGGAATGGACCCTGATGATGTTTGGCAGTTGTCCTCCAGTCTTAAAAGGTATGACCATCCTCACAGATTCTTCAAAGCCAAAGGCCTGAGGCCAATTGTCTTTGAAGAAACCCCATTATCATTCTGTGTCTTCTTTATTCCAGCTGCACTCCATGAATGCAGTCAATAATCTCTTGAGCAGTGCACTGGGCAACTCACAAAAAGCATAATCCAGAGCCTTCTGACCAGTAGCGGATATAACTGTGTAGCTGACACACAAGTGCTTTGTAATTACCCAGAACTGACTTCACATTCCAGCTCAGTTTCTATCTAGCTTTGTAACTTGTGGTAAATTATGTAAATTTTCTGAGCTTTAGTGGGGTCAAAAATGACTCCTAGAGTCGTTGGAAAGGTAAAATATACCAGTTATAATAATAGCAAGTGTTTATTGAGCATTTACCCTAGATAGGGTGTTGTGCTAAATGTGTTATCTCATTTACACCTAAGAATACCCATTTTATAGATAAGAATACAGGCCCGAAAGGTTAAATTCTTCTAGGGTCATACAACTCAAAAGTGGTAGAACAGGATTCCAGCCCAAATTTGAGCCCAGATTTCATGTTTATTTCCTATCCTAAAAATATGTGGTGTACTTCCTAGTGCATAGTAGACCCCCAGATTGTAAGTACAATTATTCATAACGAAGGTAAGTGTAGCATTAATGCCGTACAACTTCTCATCGCCATCTTGTGGATATGCCTGTGAGGACGGGAGCAGGCCTTCAATCTAATGTTGCAGCTAAGTTCTTGCTTATTGCCTGGCAGGACCACTAGCTGCTCTTTGGCCTCAGCCATCATAAATCTGCATCTTCCACCAGGCCACTGAAGCAGAGGTACAGAATTCTAAAACCTAGCAACATTTTTATTTCATTATTTTCATTCTGGCTTTTAAAATTTTTTTAACTTTATTGAGATATAATTCACTTACCATACAATTCACTCATTTAAGTGTATAGTTCAGTGGTTTCCAGTGTATTTACAGATATTTACAACCATTACCACAGTCAATTTTAGAACATTTTTATTGCCTCAAAGAGAAACTCTACCCTTTTGTGTCCTCCCATTTCTCCTGACCCTAAGCAACCACTAATCTGCTTTCTCTGTATATAGACTTCCCTTTTATGGGCATTTCATATGAATGAAATCATACGATATGTGATCTCTTATAACTAGCTTCTTTGAATTAGTGTGATTTTTTTCTTTTTTTTGAGTTGGAGTCTCCCTCTGTTGTCCAGACTGGAGTGCAGTGGCCACTCCCGGCCACTACAGCCTCGACCTGCTGGGGCTCCAGCGATCCTTCCGCCTCAGCCTTCCAAGTAACTGGAATTACAGGCGTGCACTACCACGCCAAGCTAATTTTTTGATTTATTGTAGAGATGAGGTTTCACCAAGTTGCCCAGGCGAGTCTCAGACCCACGGGCTCAGGCTAGTGTGATGTTTTCAAGGTTCATCTATGTTGTTGTGTGATCAGTACAATGCTCATACTTCCCCTCCACCAACAATATCGCAGTTGGTAAAAATCAGCAGGGAATATGGAAAAACCAGAACCCTCACACACTGCTAATGGGACTGTAAAATGGTACAGACACTTTGGGAAACAGTCTGGCAATTACTCAAACAATTAAAGAGAGTTATCACATGAAGTAGTAATTCTTCTCCTATGTTTATTACCCTAGTATTGTCACTCCCCTCCTTTTCCTCCATGTCTTCTCCCTTCCCCACCTTGGAGAGTAACTTAGTAGTTTAATAGTACCTGATTCTGATGTCTCATTCCATAGCTGCCAGGTCACATGGAAATTGCAGTGAAAGATTTCAGACTACCAGTTGCCGTGTACAAATTTACCACAAGCTACATGACTCCTTTGTATAAAAAGTCTTCCATTCTAGCCTGACATGGTATAGTGGCTCATGCCTATAATCCCAGCACTTTCGATGGCTGAGGTGGGAGGATTGCTTGAGGCCAAGGAGTTCAAGACTAGCCTGGGCAACATAGCAAGATTCTATCTCTAAAAAAATTTATTTTTATTATCATTATTTGAGTCAGGGTCTCACTCTGTCACCCAGGATGGAGTGCAGTGGAAATGTATCACAGTTTGCTGCAACCCCAACCTTCTGGGCTCAGGTTATCCTTCCACAGCAGCTGGGAGTACAGGCATTGCACTACCACACTCAACTTATTTTTCTATTTTTTATAGAGATGAGGTCTCACCGTGTTGCCTAGGCTGGTCTCAAACTCCTAGGCTTAAGCAATCCCTCTGCCTCCTAAAGAGTTGGGATTGCAGGCGTGTGCCACCACACCCAGCCTTCTGCAAAAAAAATTTTCTTAATTAGGCAGACATGGTTGCACACGCCTGTAATTTTGGCTGTTCAGGAAAACTGTGACAAGAGGATCATTTGAGCCCAGAAGTTCAAGGTTAATAGTGAGCTATGATCACGCCACTGTACTCCAGCCTGGGTGACAGAGCAAGAATCTTATCTCTAAAAATAAAAAAGTCTTTGATCCTGTGGCTGCCCAATACATTCCGTATATAGTCTAAACTCATTCAGTATATGAAGCCTTATAACATTCATCCTACTGTGACATCTCCAGCTTTCTTCCATGCCCCTCCCAAAACACATATTCTTACTCTAGCAGTTTTGTGGAATTTGCAGGTTGGTAAGCTATCAGGTTTCCCAGTAACCCTATTTATTCTTTCTTTTTTTTGCCATGTGTAGAAAGACAAATTCCTGTTCTGTTAAACATATTCTCTCTAGCTTGCTGTAACCTGGCTAATTCCTCCTACTTGTCATCTCCACTAAGATGCTCTCCCTGACATACCTTAGTCTAGATTAGGTATGTGTAGGTATTCTTAAAACCATTTTATGCTTGCCTCTGTTACCCCTGGTCACAGACATATAATTATTTACTTGTCTGTGTCTCCTCTTAGGCCACTTCCTCTTTCAAAGAGGAAACTACTTTGCCATTCACTATACACTAGATGCCCAAGCAGGGACTGTCTCATTTACTCCTGGGTCCCTAGACATAGCCTTGGGGCTTGCATAGCTTAGGTGTGTAGAAAGCTTTGTTATGTGAATGATTGGAGCCTACCTGAGCTGTGCTGCAGCTTTGGCCTCTTAACTAGTCTCTGCCTGTCATAGTCAGCCATCCACAAAATCCCCCATAACCTAGCCTTTTCTCTAGACATTCTCTTTTCTTTCTTGCTATAAGTAAAATCTGACCACCCCTAAGGTTTCCCCTGCAGACTACAAGTAGTAGCCAATGTTTCTCTCAAAGCCATCATTACCCTAGTACTACAGATGGAGGTAGGTCTCTCCTTTGCTCCACTTTGCTGCTTACAGTTTATCCTCCTTCCTAAAACTCACAGTATGAATGTATTTTATCACATTTTGCCACTTCTGTTTCTCGTCATTGCAGGTGAACACAGACCCACTCTTTTGAAGATAGCTCCTGGCTCATTGGCACACTCTCTAATATATTGCTTTCATAAGTCTTGATGATTGCCGTATCCACATAGATGATGATTCTAGTGCCTTGCCTCTCAGTTTTACTTCCTTCCTCCAATTACCTTGTCTTGTATCATGTCTTTTTTTTTTTTTTGAGTTGGAGTCTCACTCTGTCGCCCAGACTAGAGTGCAGTGGCCACTTCCGGCCACCACAGCTTTGACCTGCCGGGCTCCAGCGATCCTTCCGCCTCAGCCTTCCGAGTAGCCGGAATTACAGGCATGCACTACCACGCCCGGCTAATTTTTTGATTTATTGTGGAGACGAGGTCTCGCTGCCCCTGGCTTCTATCATGTCTCAAACACTTATTTCCATGGACATGCTATTACTAACAAGTTGTCTTCATTAATTTCTGTTTTTAAGTATCCCACTCTCTGACCATTGCTTCCTGTTTTCTAATTTATCCCCTTCTAGCTCTCTCATCCCAACAGTTCTTCAGCCCCAGTGGCATCTATATTCCATTGAGCCTACCACCTTTTCACTTTCCATCTTCGTTATTTCATTATTTCACTTCCTCTTTACCTGGCTTAGATTCCAGGGCATTTCTGTAGTTGTTACTCTCTTTCTGTCCTGAAGGATCTTTTATGTCTTCTCCTCTGGCCTCAAACCTCCTATGGCTCCTTTTCAATCTTTACTCTCAGTTTTTGTTTGTCATTGAGAAGATAGAAGCCATCAGAAGTCTCCCATCACAACTCATCTACGCACAGTACTCATCATGCTCTGTCCTCTTTCCAAGTCCTGTTGAAAACTTTCCTTCCCTTGGTCCACTGGATTCTATCCCTTCTCATTTACTTGCTGTTTCCCTCTCTCCTGGATCATTCCTTCTGACATACAGGCATATCGTAATTTCTCCCCACTAAAAAAAGCTATTTTCTTTCCCCATACACTTCACAGTCTTTTCATTGCTCTTCTCCCTGTTTCTCTTATCACTTGGATCTGTGCTTCACTTCTCCTTCCTGCTCTTGCTTGACTGTCAGCAGCACTTTCTTTCTTACTTTCTCCTTACTTTCTCCTTGTAATGTTTTTTTTTTAAACTAGGCTTCTAGGATACCATATTTTTCTAATTTACTTTTACCTTAATGTGTGTCCCTCAGTCTCCTTGTGATCCTTCATCTCCCATTTATCTAAACCTGAGATATTACCAGGGCTTGTTTCTGGAACTGTTTCTCTATATTCACTTGTTAGATGAAATCTTACATAGACTTTCAGTTCTATGTGGCAAAGATCTCTAAATCTGTATTTTTGTTCTAGACCTCTTTGAACTCCAGATGTATCCCAGCTTTTTACTTGATACCCATTGGATTCCAGTAGGCATCTCAAAGTTAACATGTCTAAAACCTAACTCTTCTGTCCCTTATCCAAACCTGCTCTTCCCCCATGTTTCCCCTTCTCAACAGATCATAATACCATTCTTAGAGAACTCTAAAATCATTTTGACTCCTCTCTCTCAGTCCTTTCTCTAGTCTGTCAACAAATCCTGTTAGCTCTATCCTCTAGATATAGTGTCTGACCATTTGCCATCTTCACTGCTGCCATTCTTTCTCACTTAGGTTACTATAGTAATGTTCTAGTAGACCACTGTAGCTGCTCTCCCTCCCCATGATCTATTCCCAGTACAGCAAGCAAAGTGATCCTTTTGAAGTGTAAGTCACATCCGCTCAGTTCTTTGCTCAAAACTCTCACTGAGAGAAAAAAACTAAATTCTAAGGATGTCTTAGAAGTTCATACATATCTATTCTGTACATTCCATATGCATATGCAGACATGCTCCTCATCTTCTCTGGCTCTTGTTCTTTTCCATTTCATTCTGTTCACATTGGCCCACTTTTTATTCTTCAAATGTTCCAGGCATGTTCTTGCCTCAGGGCCTTTGCACTTGCTGCTCTCTCTGCCTAGAATATTCTATTTCCAGATAGCTTTTCTCACCTTCTGTAAGGTTCTGCTCAAACATCTGCTTAGTGAAGTGTTTCCTGTATTCAAAAGTACATCTTATTTTTTTATACTGTCTGTTCTCTCACACACACTAAAAGGAAAGTTCCAAAAGGCACACACTTGTATTGTGTTCACTGCTGTATATTCTTAGCATCTAAAACGCCTGGCACATGTAGGTGGAACTCAGTGAATATTGGAATTAATGAATGTTTCCAAAATACATCAGACTGGGGGCATGGTGGCTCACACCTGTAATCTCAGCACTTTGGGAGGCCAAGGCAGAAGGGTCACTTGAGGCCAAGAGTTTGAGACCGACCTGGGCAACATTTCAAGACCCTTTCTCTACAATTTTTTTTTTTGAGTCAGGGTCTTACCCTGCCCCGCACACTTTTAATGCAGTGACAACAATCACAACTCACTGCAGTTTTGACCTCCTGGGCTCAGGTGTCCCTCTGTCTCAACCTCAAAAGTAGCTGGGACTATAAGCATGTACTACCACACTCAGCTAATTTTTTGACTTCTTGTGGAGATGAGGCCTCACTATATTGCATAGGCTGGTCTTGAACTCCTAGGCTTAAGCAGTCCTCCCACCTGCACCTCTCAAAGTGCTAGGATGACAGGTATAAGCCACTGCACCCAGCCTCTCTACAAAAATTCTAAAAATTGGCCGGGCATGGTGGCATGTACCTGTAGTCCCAGTTACATAGAAGGCTGAGGCAGGAGGATCACTTGAGCCTAGGGGTCAGAGCTGCAGTGAGCTAATATGTACCAGTGCACTGGTGGCCTGGGTGACAGAGCAATTCCCTGACTCAAAAATAAAATTCATAAAGTCATCACCCATCAAATCACATTTTGCTACCAAAGCCATGTAACTGTCAATAAAACCGGATCCAGAAGTCCACAAATTACTGTGATGTAAATGAGCAGCAGTTGGTCAAAAGGCTTGAGAAAACCTTTTGAGATGTTGAAAATAGTTCAGTAACTTTCACTGCTAGCTACCCAAGTTGGAAGATATTGTTTAGACCAACAATTTATTGAGGAGCTATGATACTTGTTTTGTTTTGTTTTGTTTTGTGCTAATTAATGGTAGAAGCCATGTTAACCATGGCAGTAATGCCAAAAGTAAGTGGAAGTTTTTCCTACTTTAAACATGGAGAAATAGAGGCTCAAGAAATTGCTTCACCTAAAAGATAATACTAGTTTGACAATCCAGAGACTGTCCTCATAAATGGAAATAGAAACAAGGAAGGAGAGGATGTCAGCTTACCAGAAATTAGTGCCATTAAGCCCACTTGAGTAGGTGGAAATAGTAACGGCCTTCAGGGTACCTTAAAATATAGTATAGCTAAGGAATTTCTGGAGTTCATGTAGTAAAGCAATTGGCATCCTTGAACTGGGATCAGAGTAGAACCTGAGATAAATTGATTACAGAATGCAAGGACTAGGCAGCCTGGAATTGAGGAGCATCCTTGAAAGCAAGGGCTCTTCATTTATTCATCATGTAAGTAGATAGATAATTGTATTTATAGCATAGGAGCCTATTATTAGATCTGGCATATAATAGGTAGTCAATATTTGAGTTGAATATTGACTGATGGTACTGTGGAAGACAAAGGAGACACGCCTGACACAGATTGGGAGGGTTTGGGAAGGCTTTCCCAGAAGAGTATATGCCCAAGTATAGTGTTAGCAATTGGAACTAGTGAGATGAGATAGGAGAGGAGAGACTACTAGGAAGACCCCTGTAGCATGGCAACTACAAAGTCCAGAGGTGAGAGAAGTTGGTCCGTATAGCATAACAGTCTACCACAAGGTAAAGGAGGTACACACTGATTAAATCAGGGAAGATGTATCAACACTTAGGAATCAGAGCTAGTATCTTGAAGGCAGTTGGGGCCCTGGGTTGTTTGCTTGTTTGATAAAGGATATGTGTGTTTCTTGTATCACCAGTGCCCAACTTATTTCTGTTCTTTGGAAACACGTGATGCTGTATTATTACCAGTTGAATCTCTGTTTGTTTTTTTATCTGTTATCTTTGTCCCCATGCTTAGGTTTGATGACAAATATACCTTGAAGCTGACCTACATCAGTGGGAGAACAAAGCAGCAGCGGGAAGCTGAGTTCACCAAGTCCATTGCTAAGTTTTTTGACCACAGTGGGACACTGGTCATGGATGCATACGAGCCTGAAATCTCCAGGCTCCATGACAGTCTTGCCACAGAAAGAAAAATAAAATAACCATTTCTAAAAGCAGCCCTCATTCTGCCGGATCATGCTGAATTATCGAGTGGGTGGGGGGAAGAAACAGAGAACTTAAAATGAGTAAAGTAAGAAATGTTTAAAATGTCCTAGTTTTGTCCTGAAATTTTAGTCTATTCTGGAAAATAGGATTTTCTAGCACAGATATGAGAAGTTGTAGCTCTGATTGTAGCTGTAGCCTCCCTGGTCTGCTGATTGCATTGTTTTCATTTGCTTTTCTAGAAAAGCATTTTTGCTAAAAGCTGTACATTTTTCCTTTGTACCTAGCAGTACTTTATACCATGTAGCTTTGTGCCATGCAGCATTTGAAGACTCGATTTTTAAAGATTGTTAACCTGTTGTTAACTGTGTTAATTCCTATTTCAACAACTGTTTTCCTAAAGAATTCAGGATACAACTTCTTGTGTATGATACCTTTCCTTCACGCACCATTTGTGTGGTGTGTATATATCTGACTTGAGGAGAATTTAAAAAAAAAACACAGCTTTTAAATTTGATTAAAACAGACCTTCTGCCTGTTACATTTTGTGCTCTTAACCAATTAAAGAAGCCAGTGGCATTTTTAGTTTTATATTGTCTGTTTTCCACTAGTATATTCCTGTTGATTTGTTTGCCCTTTATTAACTGCCATTTTCTAAAGTTTTTTTCAATAAAAGGAAAGAAGATGTGAATAAATGGAGTCATAGTATTGATGGAAGGAACAGAGCAGCAAATGTTAATGTTTTACTACTATAGGTTCCTTTCATTTTTTAGGCTGTTCTACTTCTCAGAGGCCCCTGAGAACCTGTAGCTGAGGAACTCTTAGCTTTCCTGTGATAACAATAGTAACTCTCTTTGTGCCAGGAGTGTTTCAAGTACTTTACATATATTAACTTAGTAATGTTCACAACAGTCCTAAGAAGTACTACTATTATCTCCATTTTACAGATGAGGAAAATGAGACACAAAAATTGAATAATTGTCACATAGCTAGTGATAAAACTGGGACTTAGACCACTTACACCTGGGTAGTCTGAGACAGAACAGCAGCATCTTCAGTGTTTTCCCACGGTGGTCAGAGAAGACCTGGGTGCTTGCCTAGGTGTTTTGGGCTTTAGGAATATTGTCCCTCCAGCTTTGCAAAAGTGTAGTTCCAGCTGAGCCTGTACCCAACGCTACACAGCTTGTAAGAAATTACTTTCCCTCATTTCCTGTTTGACTTGGAAATGTTGCCCTATCTGGCACCACACAGTGGGAAAACAGGAAGTTGAAGCCTTGAATTCTGTACTCTTAGTCCTGTAAGATTTGGGTGAGTCACAGAATTCTCTGGGCTTCTAGTTTCCTCTTTTTTTTTTTTTTAATGTGCTACTTAAAGCTTTTGAAAATGTATAGTCATCTTTTGGGGGTGGGGATTGGGGTCTCACTCTGTTGCCCCGGCTGGAGTGCAGTGACACACTCACAGCCACCACAGCCTCGACTTGCTGAGCTCAGGCACTCCCTCCACCTCAGCCTTCCAAGTAGCTAGAACTACAAGGTGTGTGCTACCATGCCCAACTAACTTTTTGGTTTATTGTAGAGATGAGGTTCACCTAGTTGGCCAGGCTGGTCTTGAACCCCTGGGCTCAGTCAGTCCTCTTGCCTTCACCTCCTAAAGCGCTGGGATTACAGGTGTAATCCTCTGCACTTGGCCTCATATCATATTTTTATAATGGAAGAGTTACAGTTGTCTCAGTACCTGCAGGGGACTGGTGTAAGAAGCCCTGCAGATACCAAAATCTGAGGATACTCGGGTCCCTCAAATAAAATGGTGTGTATTTGCATGTAATCTACACACATCCTCGCGTATACTTTTAGTCATCTCTAGATTACTTATAATGCCTAGTACAATGTAAATACTACATAAATAGTTGTTATCTATATTGGTTTTTTATTTGTATTTTTTTATTGTATTTTTTTCTCAAATATTTTCAACCCACAGTTGGTTAAATCTGCAGATACAGAAAGCCAACTGTATTGCTAGACACAGGGGCTTCAAGGTTTGAAGATGTAGACATAAATAACCTTCTTTGTGATGACCCTTGGGGTTCCTTCATACCGGGTGTACCTTTTTCTTTACATATGCATACAAATATGTATCTTCACGTATGTTTTGGGGTTTTTGCTAACAAAAATTATGTTAATATATGTAAACTTAATATTTCTTACATATTTTACCTGTCAGTTTATATTAGTTAAACTTTTTTTTTTTTGGAGGCAGGGTCTTGCTGTGTTCACCAAGCTGGAGTGCAGTGATAAGATCACAGTTTGCCACAGCCTTTACCTCCTGGGCTCAAGTAATCCTCCTTGCCTTGTTCTCACGAGATGCTGGGATTACAGGTGTGAGCCAGCATGCCCAGCTTGTTCCCCTATCATTAGGTAATATATTTTTTCCCAATTTTTAAAAAAACTATCTCAGGAGGTAGTGTGATTGGGGGCAAGGGGAAAATAGGTTCTCAAATGAGAGATAAGACCTGGTTGTCACCAGCTTGATTCTAATTTGTGACCTTGGGCAAATCCCATTTCTTCTCTAGGGTGAAGTATTTTAACTTGTTGAAGAAGTTTTAGAGGATGTGCCTCTTGGGATTATAAAGATTTCTTACCCCCAGAAACACCTATACATAAAATATTCTTTATTATTATGAAGAATGTGAGTGCTGTAATCTCCAAAATCTGCCCATAAACCCTACTTTGAGACTTCTTAGATTGCACGAATCTCTTAATGTTTTTCCCTGACTCCAGAAACCAGCTGAAACAGTTTAGAGCCAAGTGCAGTGGCTCACGCCTATAATCCCCGCACTTTGGGAGGCTGAGGTGAGAGGATTGCCTGAGCCCACAGGTTTGAGACCAGCTTGGGCAACTTGGCGAGACCTCATCTCTACAACAACAACCAAAAAAAGAAGCCTGTCATGGCGGGGTGTGCTTGTAGTTCCAGCTACTTGGAAGGCTGAGGCAGAAGGATCACCTTAGCCCAGCAAGTCAAGGCTGCGATGACCGTGAGCATGCCACTGCACTCCAGCCTGGGTGACAGAGTGAGACTCCAACTCAAAAAAAAAAAAAAGTTTAGATTTTGAAGAAGTGGATTATACCAGCCAAGCCACGTGTTGCAATTGGTCACCCCACCTTTGCACTTGTGGCATTTGAGGATAGTTTTCCATCACGTTGACAAAAAAAAAAAAAACACTGCAGGCTCAAGCCTTAGCATGGTCACACTGTGAGGCTGCTGAGCATCTCTGGCCAGCATCAACCGAGTGCCCATTCCAACCCATTTTGAATACTGCTGGGCTGCTCTTCATCCTCTGTATTGCATATGCAACACCCTTCCAGGAAAGCATGTCACCCATCACATTAGCCTCCAGATACTCAGTTCCTCACATCTGCCTCAAATGGACTTAAGCCTTCCAAATCACTGGGGACCACTGAGGAGAGTGGGGAAAGATCACTAATGTTTTTCATCATTTGCAAATTTCGTGTATTTAATGTTGGTAACGCTTTTGTATGTTTTCAGGAACAATCTGTCTGCTTCAGACCAACCTTAGGGAGTAGAGGAAGATCCAAGTCCCTTTGCATACATACAAGTTGTCTTTTTCTCTGGGCCCAAGTGCTTCTTCAGTTTAGAGCCCCTTCTCTCACTAACTACCTTATCTCCACCCTGGCTAGCCCTGCCCTGGTCTCCCTGATGAAAATCATCAGGGAAAACTTACTATCACATCAATTTAGATGTTTACAGAATACATTCTGTCCCCACTGACAGGATGTATTCTTTTGTTATTAAATAGAATATTCCTAACAACCCAGCCTGAAAGCCCATATACTCAGAAGACCCCTCTGATATCTGCACTACCTTAAGAATCGACCAGGATTCTTAACTCTTTTTTGTGCTATGTATCTTGTACTATGTATGCTTTATATTCTGGTGTTGTCTATAACCCTCTTCTCAGAAAAAAATGTCTTAAATACACAAATGTGTTACTGCCTGAGGAACCGGAGAGGTGGCTGCAGGCTCTGAGTACAGGGAAACAGGTTCGAAGATGGTTGTTTAAAAGGTGCCATAGTTGCTTCCTCTCCTCTGCACAAGAGGACATCCTCACTAAGCTGGCAGCCAGCCTCAGCTCTGCCCACTTTAACTGCTGGTGCTGAAACTCTTCCTAGATAGGTAGTAGGTTCCTCCTCCTTTCAGATAATGGTTACAGAAATGTGCTACATGAGCATGAAAGGTGAGAAATTCCCTGCTGGTAGGGGCAGAAACCGGGCGAATTGTTAGAACTTGACTGATTTGTTTGGGAGAAGAAGGATTTGGGAGATATGATGCTGGTTAAGGAAGAATGGCAACTATTGGGCCATCCTACAGCCAGCTCTGTCCTTCAGCCTATCATGTCAGCCTTGGACCCAGGCAGACACAACAGGTCTCAGAATTTTTGGCAGTGGATCTTGGCTGCTGTGAAACACTGTCAGAGAAATTTTCCTATGACAAACTCTTCCAAGACACCATTGATGAGGATTGAGTAGTATTCAGGCTCTTAATTCCCAGGGTTTGGTTTATAATGCTGTTGAAGGCGACCCACTGGTGAAGGAGAAACTTGGGAGAGGCAGTCTGCCATGAGCCCTGTGTGTCCCTGCATGGTCTTCATATGAATGCAAGACCCCAAGCACTATTCCTATGCCATTTCTCAGTGTTCTGTTGGCAGTAAGCTACCTTGAGATGAGCAAGTTAGCCTATTACTCATTATAAATGTGTTGAATCCCCCAGGCTCAGGGTCTACTTGTGTAGACCTACCCCATGGCACTTTTGGGAGTGGGGGCTGTGGAGAACTGTTGCAACCATGTTCATGTTGCTTGTTATACCATAAGTAATACAGTTCCTTGTCTCTTGACCCACAAGACGCTTGTCTTCTGCCAATGTCCATGAAAGAATTGCAGGCTAACTTGTTGGCTTGCAAGTAGCACACAATTCTAGACCCTTCATAGATCTGAAACTTAGTAACAAGGATGGGATCCTGACAGACATAGTTTTCTAGAGAAAAGGAACAAAGAGCTTTCATGTGCTGGTTTAGGGGATATGAGAACTTCCCTGGGATCTGGTAGCAAAAGCTACCAAGTGAAGGAAAGAGTAAGAGTTCACCGTTGTCCTACCTGTTAATATTTTAAGGCTAAGCAGCAAGAGGTAGAATTGAAACATGCTCTCCATATAGTACTTAAGGTGATGTTCAGTCTCTGGGCAGGAGGCCCATTGCTCCAGCTGAAAGGCAGTATGACCATGACTGATGAGTGAAGCATTTCCCAAAGTTGAATGAAGTAAATGGTCTTGCTGACTGACAAATAGACACTCTCCCTCTCTGTACCCCCAATCCCTCTCTACTGACTCGGGGGGAAAAAACTGTGTAGTGGTCTTCAGGGAGGGAAGGACTTCCCCTTTTATAGTTCTGTTGACCATACGTGTCCAAGTCACCGTCCTACTCAGTCCCACACATAGAGGTGGTCAGAAATGCCGGAGACTGGAGCAGATTAACAGTGGCATGCAGGAGAGGGAAAAAAAAGTTGCAGGGGAGCCCTTGAGCCCCAGGGGTGCTTGTCAGAGCCAACAGGCTATGAGGGAAGAGGCAACACCGATCCTGGAGCAAGAAGTCAAAGGAGAAAAAGGCCTTCCCAATGGTAC